GAATGGGAGATAACGGAGAAAAGATATTATAGTGGAGAGATTGGTGGAGGGAAGATATTACAGGGAGGACAGATGAGTAGTCAGCCTGGGAGGAACATTTCCTGGATGGGGAAATACAGGTTCACCTGCAGTCTGTCAGGAGCGTTGTCAGTAGATGCCATCTTGTCTGCACCTTATATAAGTGCTGAGCTTAAACGGCAAGGAAGTTTATGGAAAAAAGATTACTTTCAATAAAAATTGACATTGCAAACGTCCCTCAATGGGAATATGTGATGGAGGAGTGTTTGACAATCTTATTCAGATTTCTTTACTGGTAGTATAAAAACGAAGCAAAAGTAGCTCAATAGACTCCCAGACCCCTAAAACCATAGCAAACCCTAAACTGAATGTTCCTCTGTGTGGAATCCCACTGGGGGCCGTTCTTCCATGATAGAGACCCTCATTCTCTGTTATCAATTATTGGTCTACAGGAAACCTGTATAGATCACATAACCAATGAGGATGGAGGAGGACCGGAGTCACATGACTGAAAGGATACTAAACCTCACCCTGGAGATCATCTACCTGCTGACCGGAGAGGTGAGGAGGATTCTGGGAGGTCACATGACATCACTCTTATCTCTATTAATAAAACACAGACCTGACTGGAGAGGTGAGGAGGATTCTGGGAGGTCACATGACATCACTCTTATCTCTATTAATAAAACACAGACCTGACCGGAGAGGTGAGGAGGATTCTGGGAGGTCACACAGACCTGACCAGAGAGGTGAGGAGGATTCTGGGAGGTCACATGACATCACTCTCATCTCTATTAATAAAACACAGACCTGACCGGAGAGGTAAAGAGGATTCTGGGAGGTCACATGACATCACTCTTATCTCTATTAATAAAACACAGACCTGACAGGAGAGGTGAGGAGGATTCTGGGAGGTCACACAGACCTGACCAGAGAGGTGAGGAGGATTGTGGGAGGTCACATGACATCACTCTCATCTCATTAATAAAACACAGACCTGACCAGAGAGGTGAGGATTGTGGGAGGTCACATGACATCACTCTCATCTCCATTAATAAAACACAGACCTGACCAGAGAGGTGAGGAGGATTGTGGGAGGTCACATGACATCACTCTCATCTCTATTAATAAAACACAGACCTGACCGGAGAGGTGAGGAGGATTCTGGGAGTCTAACATGATGTTCCTATTGGTTCCCCAATACAGAGATTTCCTCTTCTGAAGTCAGATGATCATATGACCATCACAGTGCCTCCATGTGACTCCCTAAACCCTGAGAGACACAACATGGAGAAGATTCTAGAAGTCACCAAGAAGATGATGGAGCTGCTGACAGGAGAGGTGAGCGGTGCCGGGAATTCTGGGACATTCACCAGTAACAGACAAGGGATGTGTCTGGATGGTGACTGTATCATTGTGTGTGTCAGGTTCCTATAAGGTGTCAGGGTGTCACTGTCTATTTCTCCATGGAGGAATGGGAGTATTTAGAAGGACACAAGGACCTCTACAAGGACGTCATGATGGACAATCAGCCGCCCCTCACATCACCGGGTAAGAGGAGACTTTATTGGAAAGGAGAGAGCAGTACGGAGGATCCACCTAGATCCCCCATCATCTGATAAACACATAGAAACAATGGATTCAGTCAGTGTGTTTGTTTCCTACAGATGGATCCAGTCATGGGAACCCACCAGAGAGATGTCCCCATCCTCTGTATTCCCGGGATTCCACACAAGAAGGTCACACCATCCCTCACCATCATCAGGTAGGTGAGGAACAATCACTGATAGTATCATTAGGATCTGTACATTATCTGCATTGTTACCATTGATGTCATTTTTATTATATATTCAGAGTGGAAACCTGAGAGATTCTACAGTTGAGGTTAAAGAAGAGATGGGAGAGAGGAGGAGGATGGAGTGATGGAGGAGTCAGAATTTCTTTATGATCTCTACCAGGACATCACGGTGGGGTCAACTGGCTACAGAAACCCACCAGAGAGATGTCCCCGTCCTTTGTATTCCCGGTATTCCACACAGGAGGATCACAACTATGCAGAACATGATCAGGTAGATGAGGAACAATCACTGATAGTTATATTTTATACACGGCATGCTTGTTTGCTACGATAAATTTATTTATATCTTTAGAGCAAAAACCCCATGGATTGTAATATTGTTAAAGAAGAGCTCACAGAGGAGGATGAGGAGTATGGTGTGATGAAGGAGCTTTGTAAAGGACACCAGGATCTCTACAAGGATGTCATGATGGACAATCAGCCGTCCCTCATATCACCGGGTAAGACGAGACTTTATTGGAAAGGAGAGAGCAGTACGGAGGCTCCACCTAAATCCCCCATGTCACGGATCCAACCCACACGCACACGCCCACTCCGAAGATATGAGCTCGAGCTCAAGTACCCAGAAGTCACTTATTAATTTTATGATTTAATATCCTGAAAGTTTGGCAGAGCATAAAATATGTACAAAGTATAAAAAATAACAGAAAATACAAGAAGACACACAATTGGCTATTCACTATAAAATAAAAGGAAATAAAAGACAGAAATAAAACCTTTACCAAGTGTTATCCTGCGACTGGTGCAAGTCAGAGAAAGTCAGCGATCCGCCAGTCAATAGAACCGGCTCCGTATGAATCACACCGTCCATATCCCAAGTCAATTTATGGGAATATGGACATAGGCTGGACATTAGCTCTTAGCCAATCGACTCTGGGGGGTGTTCCTGTACCAGCCCACAGGACGTTCTGGGTGCTGAAATGCCCAAAGTCGATCGGACCAGGAACGGTTTGAATCACCAAGTCATGGATTGAATTTCCAAAACCAGCGCATCAGTCCGATCGCGACTGTACCAATCACTGTTCAGCTGTCGCAATCGAGCGCCACATAACCATTTTATGCATTTCTCTGGCATTCTACATAGTCTACAAATACAGTTTTACATGCAGGTGTAGCCTACAGTGTGTCCAATAAGAAGGAAGTATTTTCATCTCTCTGAAACTAATATTTTAGCTTTTATGAGGGATGAAACACACTCCTTTGATCTGCTGATATACTTTAGAGCTCCTAGACAGATCGGAGCCCTCTCTTGGTCTCCCACTGCCTCTGAAGCCGAAATATCTAGAAGTAGATTACAAGTCTTATTGGCATCCAGGTGTCACCTCCAGTCTAGAGGATGCTCTGTCTCTTCAGATGCTAATTGGTGACCATATGTCTCTGACTTAATTCTGAACACATCTTATATTAACATGGAATGAAGCTAAACCTACAATGTCCTATTTCTACAGATAACATCTCAGCTACTCAAATCTTTACATTTATGTCACACCCCATCATCTGATAAACACATAGAAACAATGGATTCAGTCAGTGTATGTGTTTCCTACAGATGGATCCAGTCATGGGAACCCACCAGGGAGATGTCCCCGTCCTCTGTATTCCCGGGATTCCACACAGGAAGGTCATACCATCCCTCACCATCATCAGGTAGATGGATTCAGTCATGGGAACCCACCAGAGAGATGTCCCCGTCCTCTGTATTTCCGGGATTCCACACAGGAAGGTCACACCATCCCTCACCATCATCAGGTAGGTGAGGAACAATCACTGATGATAAATATGATTTATACGCAGCATGTTTTTATAATGAATGTTTTATTATGTATTCAGAGTGGAATCCTCGCGGATTATAATATTGTTGTTAAAAAAGAGATAGAAGAGGAGGAGGATGAGGAGTATTGTGTGATGGAGGAGCTTTCTGAGGAACACAAGGATCTCTACAAGGAAGTCATGATGGAGCCACCTAATACCAGGAACCCACCAGAGAGATGTCCCCGTCCTCTGTATTCCCGGGATTCCACACAGGAAGGTCACACCATCTCTCACCATCATCAGGTCGGTGGAGTTGAGGGTCGGGAACATAAAGTGATGGAACACTCTGACATGTGGGAGACGATGTGTGGACTCTACAAGATGAGATGTTCTATGTGATCTCACATCATAAATCCTTCTATGTTACAGATGTTATTTTCTGCCATTCTGTTGGTTTAGGGTGAAGATCTGATGGACTTGAAAGTTGAGGGTGAAGTAGAAGAGACGTATGTGAGGGATGATCAGCAATATATGGAGGAGGCTGGAATGAGGAGGACATTCCTAGAGGAGGACACTCCTACAGAGATCAGCACAGGTGACCAGAATATATTCTTCTCTTAGTTCTGCTCTGTATATTGGTCTAGAGTAGGGAAGAGTTGAGTGATATAGATCAATAATAGGTTGGTAATGGTGCTGAATATCACCAGAAGCCTAGACCTATGGTCACTTGTTCTATGGTAGTGGGTCTACAAGTCCAAACTTTGACCCTCTTGTCCATCAGAGATCACATGACCCAGTGCCTAGGCTTGTGGTTATGTAAAGAGCATGTCCCCCCCCCCCCCCCCGCCCCACCCCAGCCCCCATTGTTTCCTGCTCCTCTGACAAGGCGGTGTAAATGTAGAAGTGATCTGGGAGGAGGAGTAAAGGCCCTTTGACTGAAGAGGGGAAGAGTCCCAGCTGGTTGGGACATCCACAGAGAACATCTGCTCCCTCCTATCTCCCTGATCCAGATGGAATCTTGATGGAAGTGAACTAACCCTCTCCTATCTATTGATGATGTTTTTCTATTTTTCCAGGACCCGCCATGGAGAAACCCTCAAAGGATCGTCTCACTTTATCTCCAGGTTGTAAAATGGAAGATGAGGACATCACAGGAGATCACATGGAGGAAGGCGGGAAATGTTTTTTACCGAAGTCCTGTCCTTTTGAACATCAGAGATTGCACACGGGTGAGAAGATATTTGCTTGCCCCGAGTGTGGGAAGTGTTTTCCTCGAAGATATGACTTTGTTTTACATCAGAGATCTCACACGGGGGAGAAGCCGTATTCTTGTCCTGAGTGCGGGAAATGTTTTGCAATAAAATCAAATCTGGCAAAACATCAAAGAACTCACACGGGGGAGAAGCCATTTTCCTGCCCTGAGTGCGGGAAATGTTTTTCACAGAAGGTCCATCTTATTTCACATCGGACATGTCACACGGGTGAAAAGCCATATTCCTGTTCTGAGTGTATCAAATGTTTTACAAAAAAATCAGACCTTGTAAAACATCAAAGAACTCACACGGGTGAGAAGGCGTATTCCTGCCCCGAGTGCGAGAAATGTTTTTCACAGAAAAATTCTCTTGTTATTCATCAAAGGTCCCACACGGGGGAGAAGCCGTATTGTTGCCCTGAGTGCGGAAAATGTTTTTTTCTCTCAAGTCCCAACTTAACAAACATCTGGGATCTCACACAGGTGAGAAACTGCATTCCTGTTCTGAGTGTGGAAAATGTTTTAGAGAAAGAAATGACCTTCTAAAACATCACAGAACTCACACGGGTGAGAAGGCGTATTCCTGCCGTGAGTGTGGGAAATGTTTTTCACATAAGTCCCATCTTAACGCACATGAGAGGACTCACACGGGTGAAAAGCCATATTCCTGTCCCGAGTGTGGAAAATGTTTTACACAAAGATCAGGCCTTCTACAACATCAAACAACTCACACGGGGGAGAAGGCGTATTCCTGCCCTGAGTGCAGAAAATGTTTTTCACAGAATGCTCATCTTAAAATACATCGGCGGATTCACACAGGTGAAAAACCATATTCCTGTCCAGAGTGCGGGAAATGTTATCCACAGAAATCAGACCTTGTTAAACATCAAAGATCTCACACGGGGGAGAAGCCATATTCCTGCTCTGAGTGCGGGAAAAGTTTTTCACGCAAGTACGATTTTAATAAACACTGTAGTTCTCACGCAGTTGAGTAGATGCATGGCTTCTTAGTGTAGAAAATGCCCTTCATGAAGGTCCAATCTTACTGAACATCAGATATGCTACACAAGGGGAAAGCTGTTTTTCTGCCCGGAGTGCAGGAAATTTTATCCGCAAAAATCAGAACTTGTCAAACATCAATGATCGGACGCAGGAGAGAAGCCGTATTCCTATCCTGAGTGCGGAAAATGTTTTTCACAGAAAGCTCATCATCCTAAACATCAGAGAATCCACACCACCCTGGAGGAGTGTCCTGAGTGCGGGAAATGTCTTCTATATGGATGATATGTTGCTGTACATCAGAGATCTCACACTGGGAAGAAGCACACCTTGATATACACCTCAGAAAACACGTGGCTTAGCGCTCCTCTGATCTTTATCATGGAAGGTAGACTTTGAAGCCTTTAGTTAGATTTTTTAAGTCATCATAAAGTTCTGTCTGGTTAACCCTGAGAGGAGAAAATGTTACTGCTGGTTTAGGCAGCTTCATTTGCTTGGAGAGTGCCACTTGCTGAATGAAAGTGGAAAATATGGCATTTCTAAATGTAACATTTCATATATAGCTGATAAAAATGCCAATATAATCTGAGTCTTGTGTCTTAGTAGTAGTAGTTTGGTGTTCCCAGCTTGTCCTTGTTGGAACAGCCGACTTTCCCCCTTCTCATAGACCTCAGGCCGTCTGTAGTATACTCCAATGATAATTCCATCAGTCCATAGACCCATCTATCATTCCTCCCGTAATTCCTCCTCCGCACCATCACCTTGTTGGAACAGCCGACTCTCCCCCTTCTCATAGACCTCAGGCCGTCTGTAGTATACTCCAATGATAATTCCATCAGTCCATAGACCCATCTATCATTCCTCCCGTAATTCCTCCTCCGCACCATCACCACCTCCAAACACAAGGTCATTCTTCTCTTCCTTTTTCCTCTTTTCTTCTGCTGCTTCTCCTCCAGTCTCCTTCTCCATTTCCTAACAATACAAGTACGGCCCATCCTGTAGGTTTTAGTCTTCATCTTGTGTCTTAGTAGTTTGGTGTTCCCAGCTTGTCCTTGTTGGAACAGCCGACTCTCCCCCTTCTCATAGACCTCAGGACGTCTGTAGTATACTCCAATGATGAGTCCATCAGTCCATAGACCCATCTATCATTCCTCCCGTAATTCCTCTTCCGCACCATCACCTTGTTGGAACAGCCGACTTTCCCCTTTCTCATAGATCTCAGGATGTCTCTAGTATACGCCAATGATAAGTCCATCAGTCCATAGACCATCTAGCATTCCTCCCGTAATTCCTCCTCCGCATCATCACCACCTCCAACCACAAGGTCATTCTTCTCTTCCCATTTCCTCTTTTCTTCTGTTGCTTCTCCTCCAGTCTCCTTTTCCTCTTTTCTCCTTCTCCATTTCCTAACACTACAAGTACGGCCCATCCTGTAGGTTTTAGTCTCCATCTTGTGTCTTAGTAGTTGGGTGTCCCCAGCTTGTCCTTGTTGGAACAGCCGACTCTCCCCCTTCTCATAGACCTCAGAATGTCTGTAGTATACTCCAATGATAAGTCCATCAGTCCATAGACCCATCTATCTTTCCTCCCGTAATTCCTCCTCCGCACCATCACCTTCTTGGAACAGCCGACTCTCCCCCTTCTCATAGACCTCAGGACGTCTGTAGTATACTCCAATGATAAGTCCATCAGTCCATAGACCCATCTGTCGTTCCACCCGTAATTCCTCCTCCGCACCCTCACCACCTACAAGCACAAGATATTTAGCATTTTCTTTTTTTTCAGCTCTCTGATTCTTGGATTAAACCCAAGGAAAATTAAACCCAAGGAAACCAAATCATTACTATAATATTATGCTTTCAGTGAACAAGATTGCTGTGTTTATTTACATTTACAGGAGAAAAAAAATACAGGGCCAATGGAGTACTGTAAATTTCCATACACACAGTGAAAAGCTATCTATCTTTTTCTTGCTGAAGAAAATCTACAATAATCTCTATGCATTATGGATACACTAAAAGTCATTTAGCCTGTGTTATAGCTGGTCCACGATTTCCAGAATGAACAGGACTCCCTGCATTAAGTGATCACAGAAGAACAAGTTCTTGATCTTGACCGTCTCTCTCTTACTCTTTTATTGGAGCTTTAGTGTTGTCTCAAGGTGACGTGCTCTGTCAAGAAAAGTGGAATGTGCTCAGGCACATAGTTATAGCTACAGTAGCGGAAGAAAAATTGACTATGATCTCCACGTAACAGGGAGCCATGGCCCTATCAGTTCGAAAGGGGGGCCCAGGCAGCTGAGAAGCAGGGGGAATGGGATCCTGGACAGGAGGGAACAATCGGTGCAGTGGGGGGGGACATTTACTGGAACCAATCCTCTATGGCTGTCCTTTTGGCTGCTGACAGCCGGCTTCTCTTCCTCTCTCCTCGCTGACTTTCAGCTGTCACAGGAGATCGATTTCAGTAAATGCCCCCACTGCAGCAATCCCCCTTTATTATCTTCTTCCATTTGTGTGCCCCCCCACCAGTGCTACTGGCTTCCCAACCTCTTCCTCCCACTGGCTGCTGTGGGCAAAAAGGGATGATGTTTCAGGATGGAAAGCGGGCCCTTTTCTGAATGAACACAATGAGTGATCTGTACCCATCACTCACTGTGTTCATAAATGAAGCATAGAAAACTGTCTTACTATGCTTCAGTGTGTGAATGAGCAGGGAGACTCTGCGCAGAGCTCTTCCCATATTCATTTATCTGCAGTGCACCTGGGGCTGTAGAGATAGGTCCTCAGTACCTTTCTCTTCCTGTAAAATGAGACACCACCAGTCTGGTTAGACCCCTGACACTTCACCAAATCCACCAACTACCTCCCCCCCCCCCCCAATGCATTGTGAAAAAAAATTGGTATAAAATGCTAAGGGCTCTGGCCCATACTGTGTTGAAGAGCAGTTTGTGCAGCTGGAGCCACCTATTGCTCTAAGGGGACACAGCAATTGTATGAACACAGCTGCAGGTGCTAATTTGATAGGTGTGAAGGTGTGGGTGGAGCACCCCCAATCCACACTGTCTCTGCACCCACACACCCGTCAAATTAGTACCTGAAGCTGTGTTCATACAGGCGCTGTGTCCCCATAGCGTAGCATAGGCTGTGTGCACACTGCTCCAGACACATAAAAAAAATGCTGTGCATGCCACACGCCCATGTGAATGAGCCCCAAGACCTCATTCATATACAGAGCTTTAGTTATTAACTCAATACAGTTTTATCTTTTAGAGTTAGCAGGAAATTTGTAAGTTATGTTTATGTTTGTATCCACTAGCAAAAATTTTGTTTTGATATTTTCATGAGGGGTTAAGGGGGCCTTGCCAGGTAGGCTGTACCTGGCCCTGTGATTTCTAACAGAAGCAGAGCAATAATCTCTACGCAATAGAGATACACTGAAAGTCATTTAACCTCTGTTATAGCTGGTCCACAATTTCCTAAATGAACAGGACTCCCAGCATTAAGTGACCATTGGAATATAAGTTCTTTATCCTGACAGTCTCTCTTTAACTCTTATAATGGAGCTGTATTAATATGCTTTCAGTGAACAAGATTGCTGTATATACAAACTATTTACATTCACAGAAAAAAACAATATGAGACATATAGAGTACTATAAATATGCATACTGTGCATACACACATTCAAATCCTATTTATCCTTTACTAGCTGAAAAGAAATTAACAATCATCTCTACGCAATAGAGATACACTGAAAGTCATTTAACCTCTGTTATAGCTGGTCCACAATTTCCTTAATGAACAGGACTCCCAGGATTAAGTGATCGCAGGAATATAAATTCTTGATCTTGGCAGTCTCTCCTTAACTCTTATAATGGAGCTATATTAAAATGCTTTTAGTGAACAAGATTGCTGTATATACAAACTATTTACATTCACAAAAAAATATGAAGCATATAAAGTACTATGCATACTGTACATACATTCAAATCCTATCTATCCTTTACTAGCTGAAGAAAATGAACAACCATCTCTACACAATAGAGATACACAAAGTCATTTAACCTCTGTTATAGCAGGTCCACAATTTCCTTCATGAACAGGACTCCCAGCATTAGGTGTGATCGCAGGAAAATAAGTTATTGATCTTGGCAAGGTCTCCAACATCCACCAGCTCCGTGATGACGTCATGGAGGAGTGGAAAAGGACTTCAGTGGCAACCTGTGAAGCTCTGGTGACCGCCATGCCTAAGAGGGTTAAGGCAGTGCTGGAAAATAACGGCGGCCACACAAAATATTGACACTTTTTGGGCCCAA